TTGTTGAGAGAAGAAAGAGGACCGCCCCCCCCCCTCCCGTCGGCGGCCCTCTTGATGCTCTGCTTTGATCTCCCCCTTTTTTTTTTGGCTTGGGATTGGCTGGGCGCGGCCGGCGCTTCTGCTCCGCATTGGGCCGGCGGCGCTGTCACTCACGAGGGGAGGCTCCCTGCCGCAAGCTCCGAAATCAAACAGTGGGAAAAAGGGGTTTCTTCTCTGGAGGTACCGCACCCTTCCTGCTCCATCCTTGCCAGGGTAAATTCCCACCACCACCCCCGAAAGGGGGAAGAAGGTGCCCTTTCCTTTCCAGAGTGGCCCTCAACCAGAAAGCCAACTTCAGTTTCTATAGGGTGGCTACTTTTCCTCATGATCTTACAAAGACCGTGGGCTACAGACTGCCCCAGATGTCTCACTTAGGCTTCCTCCTCCTCCTCCTCGTGCAATAAACAAAAACACAAAAACCAGGTGTGTTTCATTTTGTCTCTTTCCCAATGTCCTCATACATCCTCTTCCTGTGACAAGAACAGGGCCATCTCATCTGCCACAGAATCCCTGCCACAGCTTTCCCCCTTCATTCTGTCCTTACAACAAACTCTGCCAAGGAGCTCTTTGGCTTGGGCCAATCCTAGGCTCTACTGACCAACCCCTTTTCTACTACTGCCCAGAGAGAAAGAAGGACTTGAAGAAACCATGATGGTAAGTAGGCACTTCCCTCCCTTCCACATTCCCAAGGCTTTTAGAACCAGCTTCAGTTTGTCCAAAGGACCAAAAGTAATTCATTTAACTTGTTGTTTACCAGACTGAGTAAACATCAGTCCTTTAAACAATCATATACTGTACATCTCAAATTGATCTATATTCTGTTTCACAGAAATTAAAGGTATTTGCTTCTTCGTGTCTTGGAAGATTCTCAGTCATCCAGGTGAGGTTGAGTCATTGCAACTGGACTTCTTTCTTACAAATGAGTAGCGAAACATTTCAAACTAACAAGAAAGAAGTCCTTTTGCCATGACTCAACTTCCAGATTACTTCTTCACGGTGAGGAAGAGGCCCCATTATGTCACAATTACAAGCTGAGATTTCAGTGTCGTTTTACATTCTAATATACAATTTCCTGTTTTTATAAACATTTTAAATGAAATGCAAAGAATGCTGAAGAACAACGTGGAAGGGGCCAAATGGTGCACATAAAAACTGAAACGGGTTCGTTGCCATGCCAGAACATACAGCAAATTGCCACAGACCCTCTACTCCCAGACAAGGCTGTAGGGCGACCAAGCTATACCGCTTATGTGGAACAGCAACACGTAGCTGTTGTAACTACCACTGCACTCTTCCGCAGCAATATCTCCTAAACAGCCTACAGCAAGGGACCTCTGAGTTGGTGCTGCTTTCTGTGCCCTCCACCTCTGTTTCTAGGATCCCCATAAAGTCTCTATCATCCCATGTGGGTGGGTCTCAAAGGATGACTATCTGTTAAATAGCAGCATGGCTCGGTACTTTTTTTTTTAAGCCAGCGTGCCACACTTTGCACAAGCCAAAGCTCAAAAGCCACATTTTGAGCAGTGGCAGTGCACAGTGCAACATGGTAATCATACTTTTAAGCTTTTGTTTTGTTTTCTAGCAGTTTCTAGTTAATTCACAGCACACATACTTAAAAAACAACAACTGCTGAGCTCAGCTTGATGTCCCTTTCTGCTCAGTCAACATTTCCATCACTTTAGTGACCTCTTAGCTTAGAGCTGCCTAGAGTGGTCCATGGGACTAGATAGGCGGGATATAAATAAAATAAATAATAATAATAATAAATAATAATAATTAGCTTAGTTTGAAGTCCTGCACAACAGCTCAGCTTGCTCCACTGGCTTTGCACATAAATGATGCTACCCTCAAAAGTACCACTCCTGAATTCCTCTTTCTATTTGCCTTGCATACCGTACAGCCCTCCCGATGTTGTTAGATTCCAGCTCTCATCTGCCCCAAACAGCAGTAGTTAGAAATTACGGTAGTTGGAGTTTAACAAGCACATCCAGAGGGTCTCCTATTTCCCACCTACAGTATGTTTAAAACAGTTTCACTTTGAGCACAGATTATTTGAAGACCTATGCTTTCACCCACATTTATCTGCCAAAGGTTTGAGACTACCTTTGGAGGCCCTTCTCTATAGTTCATCTTTAAGTAATACCAGACTGCAGGATACTAGTGATATGCTCTTTTCAGAGGTGGGCCCTCAGCTTAGAAATGATTTTCTCTCAGGACTTCTATAAGGTACTTACATTTCTTAAAGGAAACCAAAGCTCAATAACTTAATGTCTGTTTTTTAAAAAAAACTGAACTTGTAAATAGCCAGGTTAGAGGTTAGTTTCAAGCGTGGCAGTGGTTAAAGTTAAAATACCTTACTTGTCACTACTATTTCCTATATCTTGTTTAAAAAAAAACAGTGTGGTGTAGCACATGGAGTGTGGGATTAAGTTCAAATCACTTCTCGGCCATAGAAAATTGAGTAACAAAGGTTAAGAACCACTGGTGTAGCACATGGAGTGTTGGATTAAGTTCAAATCACTTCTCAGCCATAGAAAATCCCTGATTAAAGGCACTGGTGGCAAGCCATTCCTTTGAATATCTCACACGCATAGGGTGGCCATAAGTTAGGAATAATTCAAGGACTGAAAACAACAACAGGCATTTCGGAAACTTATTCTATGTGGTTTTTATGACTGATCTAAACTCCGGCTTTTTACGAAGAAGCAAAACGTGATCTATTAACAGGTGGCAGTCGTTAGAGAAAACCGCAAAAGGGGAGGGGAAGAGAGGGCAATATAACTCCTACGTATTTTATCAACCTCAGGAGCAGTTTTAAAAATTTATTTAATTGCTATACGTGGGACTGGAGGATGAGTGACTCCTGCTTCCCACTGCCCAGCATAAGACTGCTACTGCGTTTAAATTTTAAACACAGTAAAGCTTCTTTTTTATTTTTTTTACTTATATTCCTGCTTCCCACTGCCCAGCATAAGACTGTTACCGCGCTGAAATATTAAACACAGTAAAACTTCTTTCCAAATCAACTTGCAAACGGCCGGGCTGAGGATCTCCACCGTGTGTAGTTTTTACCTTCTCTTCCTGAGTGTATTACCAGCTCCGTTCGTACCAATGCTGCAATCGGCCGGCGCTTCCACGCGGGGTCGCCCTCCCCTCGCTCACTCGGCGGCTGCGCTTCCAAGGGAAGGGCGGCTTGTGAGAAGCCTCTCTAGGAACCTCATTGCGACATAGTTGTTTCCCATACGGCTATATTGCGCGTAGCCCAAACCGGAAGTGCTGTGTTTCATTTCACGCCTCGCGTGGTCGCCGGTTTTATCATCTGGTCGGTGCAGAAACGCAGGTGCCTAAATTAACACTTTGTTTAGTCGCAGGTAAAAACAAAACCTTGAAGTCGTGTTCATGTCCTACTCTCACGTGAAGAAAGGGCAGATAGTTACTGAATTCCCTCTTCCTTAGGTCCATGAGTTTTTAATCATACTTCGTGGCTACCCAGCCCACCTTAATTTCCATGTCTTTTTGGTGTCTGCTTGTTTATTTTTTGTCTCAGTCTATGTTTGTTCGGCTCCATCGATTGTGTAGAAAACGTCGTGCGAAGTGAGGGGCTACATCACGGTTTGGTTGGCGCAATCTTGAAAATGGTGCTTGGAAGAAGGCCAATTTTTCTCTCCTTATTTTTCCTATTTTTTTTTTTACTCTATCTTCTGTCTTGTAAATTGTTTTGGAAGATATTTTATGTAATAATTTTTGTGTTATTTTTTTATTTGCTGTGTCGTATTGGAAGCCGCCTAGAGTGGTCGTAGGACCAGATGGGCGGGGTACAAATAAAATAAAATAAATAAAATCGGTAGTCCCACAATGAACGAAAGTTTATCAAACTTGGGTCCCGTTGTCACACTTTGGAAAAGCTGGGCATGGTTAAGTTCCACTGATTATACTGGGGGCTCACTATCACTGAGTCTGGATTCTGGCGGTTGTATTTTAGGACTGGACTTTAGAAATCCTAAAAGAACAGATTCAGTTCTTTTACTGGATCAGACCATTTGCCTTCCTTGTCCAGTATTTCAAGCAGAATTTTGTTGGGGTTGAACCTGTGAATTTTTGCATGCAGAGTTTTCTTTTCCTGTGGCTTTGCCCACCTTCTATGCAGTGCTGGTTTCTCTCTCACTTTCTTACAATTCCATTTCGGTGTTGTGGCAGAGGGTATAGTAAATATGTAATGGGAGGGGCTGATGATGGATTTACTAGTTTTTTGCTTATTGCCTTCCATATTGTACTGCAGGCAAATGTCTGCAGTGGGAATCCTTTTGAGTCTGTATAAATAGTGTTTTTGTGCAATGTAAATCAGTACCCTACATTGATAGTAGTACAGTACTTGTAAAGGGTTCTGTGCTGCTTATGTTCACATAGACAATCGGAAGGACTGTTGAGGAAAGCGAAAAAGTTGGCTTCCTTCTTGTTCAGTGTATAGTATCAGAATGCCCACCCCCTGCTGATGGAACAAGAGGATGGCATGTATTCACGAAGGCTTTCATGGCTGGGATCTAATGGTTGTTGTGGGTTTTTCAGGCTCTTTGGCCGTGATCTGAAGGTTGTTCTTCCTAACGTTTCACCAGTCTCTGTGGCCGGCATCTTCATAGTGCTGTCCTCTGAAGATGCCGGCCACAGAGACTGGTGAAACGTTAGGAAGAACAACCTTCAGAACATGACCAAAGAGCCCAAAAAACCCCACAACAACCAAGAGGATGCCATCTTCAGAAGTGAAGGTGATGGTATGATAGAAGCAGGCCTTGTTGGCAGAGGTGTGCAGGCTTTTTCTATCAGCATTTCCGTGTCTAGGCTTCTGCTGTGTGTCCCCAATGCATTAGATTAAAATGTCAGTAGGACAACAGAAGTATCCGTTAGAAGTATCAAAACTCACCTTAAATACATATCAGCACATGCACCTTTTTGATTTTAATATAGTATGTTGCTGTTCCTGTTCATTGTTCCTTGTGTTCTTTCGTATGTATACACATGAATTGTTTCTCGTACTGTACATGTATCTGTTGTTTTTTGCATACCCAAAAAGGGTATAGGAACCCTGCCTCTTATAACTGAGCCACGAAAATATCAGTCAGATTAAGTTGAAAACAAACCCCAATCCTGTTTACTTTTCCCTAAAGTGATACATGTTCCTCCTACATAAACACATAATGTTTGTTCCAGGTCATAAATCATGTCATTTGTAAGGCACTTTTAATGTGAAATTCAGTTGTAGATTATTATGCACAACAAATCCACACATCTTCATGAGTATGTTGAGAAGCCAAACGGTGGCCTCATAGCCTGTGTATAGCTAACACACAAATAGAAATAAATTACTCTATAAACAACAAGCAAGGGACAACTGCAAATCATATAGCATTAAAGAATATGCACGCAACATGGTCTTCTAATGGGGATTGATAGCAACATTTTGATACATATTAATGTTTTTGAAACTTTGTCAGCTCATTTGGTCTGTCTCAGCTCTGACTGGTAATCACAAGAACATATCCTGGAGGAGTGATGTGCATTCATATGCAGCTGGAAGCTGCATCAAGGACAGTTAGACAATCAGCAAGACAGTGGGGGCAGTGCATTTCTTAGATCTCACTATTAAGAAGGAATCAGGGAAGTTATACACAAAGCTGTACAAAAAAACATACAGATTGTAATACCTACCTGAGGTTTGATAACTCCCATCCTAGATCTCTTTGTTAAAGTTTCCCATATGGCCAGTTTTTAAGAATGAAAAGGAGTTGTGCCAAAAAGAAGGACTTTGAGCAGGAGCCTCCAATTCTGAGATATCTGCTAAGAGACAGAGGATACCCACATGAGATTATAAACAATAGTCTTGCAAAGGCTATCAGTACCACATGGGACGATTTCTAAAAAACTAAAACAAAAGAACCTATACACCATGTTAACTGTGTTTTAACATATGATTATGTCACCAAGAAATTACAAAACTGCATAAAGAGGCATTGTCACATTTTGGAAAACATGGAATTTTTTTCAGGAGAGATTACATATCTCCTTTAAAAACCTAGGGGATATTTTAGTGAAGAGTGAGTTCAAAGACAGATTATCACCATGAATCTCTTAATATTTTACCTAGTTCTCTCACAAGACATTGTCCCTGTGGCTATTGTGCCTACTGTAAAAATACATGTCATATGACAACATTTAGAGATCCACGGAATGGCAAGAGATATGTCTTAAAGAAATTCACTACTTGTAACACTAAGGAAGTAATCTATACTATAATGTGTCCTTGTAATAAACTGTATATAGGTAAGACCTCAAGATCACTTAAGACATGTATAGGAAGACACCATAGCAATTTAAGAAATAAAAGACTGAGTAATCCTCTTGTTAGTCACTTTAGGGGATTTAATTATATAGAAAAATGCAGAGTCTCTTGCAGAGTGTGGGTGGCATGCAAGTTGGATGGATAAATTATTCAGTAAGAGATCTAACATTCTGGATTGTAGATGTAATTCCTGTTAAGTATGTGAAGTCCTTACTGAGAAAAGAAATCGACTGGATATTAAGATTGAACATTCTAGCCACTTAGATTTCTTGCCCTTACTTTAGCACTGTTCCCACTGTCTTGCTGATTGTCTAACTGTCCTTGACTCGGCAGCATATGATTGCACACCACTCCTCCAGGATTTGCTCTTGTGATTATCAGTTGGAGCTTTGGGAGACCAAATGAGCTTAAAAAGTTTTAAAAGCTTGGTATGTATTAAAAATGTTGCCATCAATCTATATTAGAAAATCATGTTGCATGCATATTCATTAGTATTATATGATTTGCTGTTGTCCCTTGCTTGTTGTTTATAAACTAATTTATTTCTATTTATGTGTTAAGTCCTGAAGAAGGCCATTCACCAAAACACGTTGAACTTTTTTAAACAAGAATAAAGTTTATCACATCTTTTTTATGTCCTGAGACCAGTGTCTCATTTGGCATTCTGCCAGATGACTGACATTACAATGTACAAATGGTTTGCATTTTAACACTACTTCTGTGCAAGAATTCTGTAAGATGTACACTAGCCTGTAGCCTAGGTTGCTGAAAAAAGAAAGTGTGAACAGTTTTAGTGATGTATTCTCAAAGGCTTTTAGTGATATTTGACTTTTCTATATAAATATGGTTAGACTTAATGTTTGCGGAAGGTGACTTTGATGTTCTTCATTCTTTAAGAATACTGTATAGAGAACAAATTCATATGTGCTCTTCTAATGACCCATTTCTGAAATTATTCTAGAGCAGGGGTGTCCAACCTTTCACCTTCCCTGGGCCACATTAGAAGATGAAAATTTGGTTTGGGCCGTACCTACATTTGGTTTGGGCCGCATGGGGGGGCAGCCCTAGCCGTCCTCCACAGCCCTGCTCCAAGCACGCTTACCAGCAGCTGCGATCTCAGACAGCAGAGGCTGCCAGCTTGAACTCTGGTGTCTTTATGGGGCCGGGAGAGGGTCCACCTATTGACAGGGACGGCGCAATGCAGTCACGCAGCCCCCCTGTCCCCTCCTCTCCCGCTCCTTCCTACTTCCCCTCTCTTCCCCTCTCTACTGTTGTGACATGACCTGGCCATATTCCGTCCGCAAGCGCCAGCAGTGTAACTTGAAACTTTGGTATTTATTTAAAAATAAAAACTTGCACTGGGCCGCATTACGAGCTGACCTGGGCCGCATGCGGCCCTCGGGCCACAGGTTGGACAAGCCTGTTCTAGAGTATGTGAGGAGGCAGCTTGCTATGCATCTGGTCGATTTCCCTTTCTTTAGCTGTCTCTCTTTCTCTAGGTTACAGCGGGACAAATCATCCCAGTGCTTTTTAAGGGCAAGAGAGTGAGTGAAGTCTCCTGTTAACATTCTGTTCTATAAAGAATGAAGAGAATGGAATGACCTGCAGTGATGTTGGCTGTTCTTCACCCGGTCTGCTGATTTAGGCTTCCGGTCTACTGTGTTAGCTCAGAAAAGGAGAGCCTGTACTAATCCTTGGGCGTTGTTGCCATTGGGAGCAATGAATTTTTTGGCCAGCCCTTTGTACAGGAAGCTTTGCTCTTTGTTCCTTCATCATGGACATCTTGGAATGGGTTCTGCCAGGAGCTCTGTCCAAAATCCCTGCCACAGACGTTTGAGACAACTTTCCTATTATAAAGCAGGTCTGGTTACTGCTGCTGATCTGGTCAACTACTGGCAAGATGTGTTTGAGGCAAACAAGATCCCTGAACCACAGGAATCTTCAGAATATATTGTTTCTCATGTTCTGGGTGCAAAAACAGTTAAGTATGATGGGTGAAATTATGGGTATCCATGTTAAAAACTGGAACAAATATATGGGAATTATTCTATGCAGGGCATAAAAGACAGGAAGCTATCTCTTTTCTGGCAAGCATAAATATTTGCCAAAACTTTCATTTACCTGCATGGGGTTTCTTGTCTTTAGCTACCACACAAGTTGCTAAATACTAGGATGCTCGAAAAGGGAATTAGAGAAATTTGTGCAGGATTCTCAGTGCATCTCAATGGGGGGGGGGGAATTACAACAAATTTAAAAAGAGTTGGAACAAAGTCAAATTAGTTTAAGAAAGGGTTTATTAAGTGCACTTATGATTTCAAGCATTCTAAACATTTTGAAACATTTTTAAACATTTAAAAAACAGCCAACATGAGGCTGTTAAAACCATCGTTAAACGAAACAGGGGGACCCAAACTGTCATCACTATGTGAAGCATGGTCCCAAACATCACTATGTGAAAATCGCCCATAGGAACCATCGTTAAACGGAGTGCAAGATCGCTCCGAAAAAATCATCGCTAAGCGATTTCCTCATTAAACGAAGCAGTCGCTAAGCGAGGCACCACTGTATATGAGGATATAAACCTTGATTTTGTGGGCTAACAGTATTTGTAGGCTTAGTTGAAAGACCTGCAAATAACTTCCTTTTCAGTTCCAGAGTTTGAGTGCCATCCGCATTTCTGCTCCTCTCTCAGCCAAGGAACTGGAACATGTTGAGCAACTATGTGCAAAACGACTACAAAGGTGAGCATTCATGGTGACCTCTTCTGCTTTTTGTAGAGATCAGTCTGAAAGAAGGCAAATGGGAGGAAATGAATGGAAAAAATGAACTCCCTTGTTTATGCGGATTGTCTGTCAAGTAGTATGAAGCTGCTCTCAGACTTAAAGCCTCTGTCATGCAAGAACTGGAGGAATATTTAAGTTTAAATGTGAAGGGAATTGGTCTTTGATTTGGCTTATAAAACCTGCACCATTACGTATTACTTAGTATTGGAGATTGCAAGAAAGCCTACTAAATCTTAGTGCCGAAGATAGCTACTGAGCTATCTCTGCCACCATGCTGTCCAGCAGCAGACCTGTAGCCTTCTCTCTAGCACTTAAACAAATAGATTCCAGCATATAGTGACTCTTTTCAGGGTTTTCTAGGTGGAGAATACACAGAATTGGTTTATGATTCTCTTCTTCTGAGGGTGTCCTGGGACTGTGCAGAAATGTTTGGACATTAACAGGTTCCCCCCCTCCCATCTCAAAGCTCTTGAAGGCTTCCCCAGGATGAAAAGGATCCCTCAAAAGCCTTGGAACAGGCAGAGGGGAATCTCTTTTAATTAAAGATTAGAAACTGTGGCTGATGACATCATCCACCTTACACATCTGAAACTGTTCCAACAAGATTTTGGCCGCTAGCTTTTGAAACTGATTTTATTTTCCCAACATCGATGTCTGTACATTCCTCCATTCCAAAAAGTAGGGAATCTCCCCACTTGGGAGAGGAGGAGGGACAATTGAAGCAAAAAATGTGTAGTTGATGGTACATCCTCAAAAGCAAGGAGATAACAGATCCCCATGCTCACTGAAACTGTGCCCATTGATGTACACTTCTTGTATCATGACTTTTGCAGCAGTAAACACTACCACATAAATCACCCATTCCTTATATCATCTACATAATAATGTGGATTGGCTGTAATGAAACACAGGCTTTGTTAATGTCAGTGTCAGTAGAAAGCAGATTTGCAATGCAGTCCTATCTGCATTAACCTAATCAGTCCAGTCTCATGGAGCTGCATTTTGGAAAAGGAAATCTTGACTTAATGGGTTTAGTTCTAGGTAAGCAGGGTTTCCCCCCTTCCTCTTTAGGGAATCAATGAATGGATCTAACATCTTGTATTCACTTGGAGGGAAGCTTAAGGTGCAAGAGTGTGAATGTGCTTTCAGTAAGAATGGGTGGGGTTTTCCTGAGGAGTACAGCTTAAAATATCAGTTGTTGCTTTAAATCTAAGTCTGGCATAAAGACTAGGCTGCCATATTTAAATAAAAATGGAACACTGAAGTGTGCTGGACTGTAGAGTCTCTGTTGCTTGAAAGAAGTGTCTTAAAAACAAGAATAGTTTGTGGAATGAAACATCATCTGTCTTTTCCAAGCATATAAGAATATTCCCAACATACTTATTATCAGCCCTTTCATTTATGTGGATGGTAGATGGGGTGTGTTTTAGATCTTCCCATTAGATTTGAACTCTGACTCAAAGTAAGATAAGACAACTTGTTCCTTCCGCCCACAGCTTTGTGCGGGGAGATTAAATGTCCGCTTGCAAGGGAATGTACAAATACAGGGGCTTTCCCTTGATCTCCTTATCAGTGTTAATTAGCCCAGGTAAATGTCAGAAGGGCTGTTAGTTATAATAAGCCAATTTCCCTTGGGAAGTAGAAATTGAATATGAAAACCAGATACCTATATGCACCAGTAATTTATCACACGTAAATATCTGAAGTAAGAGTCATGTAAGAAAGAGGGATTTTCAGATGTATTTACACCTGAATAAGATTCATAGGGAAGGTGGAAAACAAATATATTAATACTTAAGTGTGGCAAGAAAGGTATCCTTATCTCAAATGCGAATTCAGTAATAAGTTCAGTACATGATCCGGTACATGTTTATGTCCTGAGTTCAGTGCAGCTTGCTCCCTAGTAACTACTCTTGGGATTGAATTTGTACAATTTGTTAGCACTGTCCCAGTGGTTCTTAACCTGGGCGATATCGCCCCCCCCAGGGGCGATTTAGTTTTTCGGGAGGTGGTGGAACAAAAAGGGGTGATGCAGGGGCGAAGGAACAGAAGGGGGCCGATAGGGAGGCAATGGACCGAGCCAAACCTGAGAAGGCGGCTGTAGCCGTGTTGCTGGCAGCAGATCCAGCAGGCGGATCCAGAGTAGCTGGTGCTGGCAGTGGATCCGGTGCTACCACTGCCGCACCGCCATTATGTTGGGTGAGGGGGGTGATGATAACTTCCTCAATGCCTCAAGGGGGCGATTCTTTCAAAAAAAGGTTAAGAACCACTGGTCTAAACTGTACTTAATAAGCTAGAATATGAATGAACCTTACACTTCCCACATGAACCTTTTTGTGCAATCTGGCAAACAAATCAGAAAGTCTCAAGTATGGTTTTGCATGATATCCAAGGGAAGGCATGAGACCAGGATTGAAGTTAACCTGCTGTCCTGGGCTTATGCTTTTCTTAACTAGACATTCCAGATTCAGACATAACATAGCAGGCATCTGTAGTTAACTGGGGCTGGCTGAATGGCTCAGTGAGCTAGCTGGGTACCTGACTGAGAAGCCAGAGGTTGGGAGTTCATATCTATACTGTGCCTCCAAGGAGGAGAGCCAGCTGGTGTGGCCTTGGGCAATCTGCAGAGTCCCAGGCTGCCCTCAGAAAAAGGGAATGGTAAACCTGTTCTGAGTACTCAGCACTCTGGAAAGGGTTACCATAAGTCAGAGTCAACTTTACAGATAATCATCATCATAGAGACCTGGCAATGGAGATCTCTCACTTGTGGATGAAACAAGGTTTCAGTGCTTTTGAAGTCCTTTCCGACGTCCGTTTTTGCTCATTTTTAAGTGTCTTACAATGTTTGGAACCTGTTTTAAATGCTTGCAATCATTAGCCCACCTCCTGAACCCTATGCAAACTTAATTTGGTGTTGTTCTGAGTCGTCGTTAATTTTTGGTGATTTTTTGTTTTTTCTCTCATTGAACTCTATTGAACTGTCCGTCCAATGCATTTCAATGAGAGAAAAAATCACCAAAAATTAACAATGACTCAGAACAACACCAAATTAAGTTTACATAGGGTTCAGGAGGTGGGCTAATGATTGCAAGCATTTAAAACAGGTTCCAAACATTGTAAGACACTTTTACAGGAGCGAAAAAGGACTTCGCAAAGCCATTGAAATGCATTGAGTCGGCTTCAATGCATTTCATTTGGTGAACCGGGTTTCACTCAACGATGTTTCCTATGGCAATTTTCACTTAAGGATGGCAATCCGTTCCAATTGGAACGGATTAACCAGTTTTCAATGCATTCCTATGGGAAATGGTGTTTCGCAGAACGATGGTTTCACACAGCAATGAATTTTTTGGAACCAATTAACATCATTGTGCGAGGCACCACTGTACATTGAAGAACCTTGCTTATACCCACTTGGTCTGGGAGGATTGGCTTGCTCATCAACAAGGCAAAAAGTGAACATTGAGATTCAAAGATACCAAGACTTTTTGAGGCAGGCAATGCAGATAATATGCCTGTTTTTCACCTTGTCACCTTTCATTTGTTGCTGATCTCCATATATTACAACTCCATATATTTCAGTTTGCATAAATGATGCTAACTAGAGCGCCAAATTCAATTCTGGATGATAAAAATATAGCAGAACAATATTGGCCTGTAGCTTATGGGTGACTGTTCTGTCTGCCTGGAGTGCTGCTGCTAATGGGATCCATTAAAGACCAATTATTTGTGCCCCAAGTCAGTATGGTTATGTGTGTGATCTTAAATTTCACAGCTTTCAGTCCGATCAAATATTCAGAAAAAAGCTTCATCATAATGATTTTAATTTGGTGTTACAAAACAAAGTGACATGCAGGCTGGAGATCTAGTTTAATTATATAAAAAGCTACTGCAGACGTAGAGCAAATCTAAACAATCCATTAGTCAACCTGCCTGGCTGATCTTAGGCTATCTGATGGATTGACTTTACAAGCCAATCATGTAGTTTGAAGATTTCGTTTCTCTCCTACTTTTGGAAAAACATTTAAACAAATAAGAATTGCTTTTTTTCCTTTCCCTCTTGTGGTAGAAGACAGCAGAATAAAAATGATGTAAGTGTCTGGGTTTAGATACACATCAGAGCTATTAAATAATGCAACACTTTGATCACTTCAGTTGTCTTAATCACAGTGACTTTCAACACTATAATCAGAAAGCCTTTCAGTAGCTGAGAATGGCTTAACTGCCAGGGGACATGTCATATGTATAATCAAAATGTTAGAGATCTCTGATCTACATTTCTTGGATCTGAGTATGCCTGCGAGCAGAAATGTATAGCCAGATTGTAAACCCATGAATGGATTCTAAATTAAACACGCTAGATCTTTACCTTGGCAGTGTGTACTAAAACTGTGTGTGTAAAATCCCTCAAGTTCTATTATGTTATGTCTCAGAGGGATGTGTGATTTACTTTAATTTAGGAAGAAAGTGATGAGAACATCTGGATTATAAAGTCATAGAAGTACCTTGTCTGTTTTCTTCATGGCATCATACATTAGTTATTTTATTTCTATATTAAGCATCTAAAAATACACTAGCTGCTCTACAGAGCACATATACAAAGGGCTTTCAAAACTGTCAGGTACGAAGCAGTGTAGCTTGAGTGTATTCTGTCTTATTGGATGATATGCTGGTTGACCTCTTTTTATTACTACACTGGGAATTTAGACTAACCGCCTTAAAGGGAAGCCTATTAGAAATGTTTCATTAGAGCATCATTTGTACAGGATAGTTATTGTTAAGGAACTTTCTATACAGAATTCCAGGTCTTGCACACTTAGTGAAAGCAGCCTTTTGGAAGATCAATAGCATGTTCTAAATGTAGTATGCTCACAAACCTGATGTTTTACAAAAAGCTTTGTCTGTTAGATGTTATTCATTACATTTATATTCTACCTTACCTCCAGTGACCCTTCTTAGAACAATCCTGTGAGGTAAGTCACATTGAAAAAGAGTAATTGCTAGAGATGAGCACAAATCAGAAAAAATGGTGATTAATTATGATTTGTGATTTGTCAAGGTTGACAAATTACAAATTTACAATTTTTTTCTGATGATTTGATAAATCAGTTTGTCAATTTTTTTTTACTTTAAAACCCTATAAAATGCCCCCAGCACCTAGAGACACCAGATTTGCAAGGAGGCTTCCCCAGACTCTCCTCTAAAATCCCTCCAAGTTTGGTAAATATTGGGTTTCAGACATCCAAGTTATAAACCCACATGTACTCCGTCCCCCCCCCCGAAAGTGCCCTTTAGCGGCTGGCTTGGGGAAACCCAATCTTCACCAAAGTTGGAGGGATTGTAGAGGAGAGTCAGTAGAAGCATCTCTGTGATCTTGGTGTCTCTAGGTGCCTGGGGAGAGTGTTTTATAGTCAGACAAATTGACAAACCAAAAATTTCTAACAATTTATATTGATTGGGGGCATTGATTCATACAAATATGAATCGACAAATTTGTGATTTTGGAATAAAATTGTGATTTATTTTTAATTCATGCCCATCTCTAGTAATGGCTGAAAGGTTGCCCTGTTGCTCAGTGGGGACTTATTATTTTGTTGTTCTTTGTTACATTTATAACCTGCCTTTCTTCCAGTGAGAACACAGTAGAAGGCATTGGTCTTCTCTTCTCAGCTTATTGTCACAACAGTCCTATGAGCTAGATCAGGCGGAAATAATATAACTGGATTAGAGTCACACAGCGAGCTTCATGACTGAGTAGCAATTTGTACACAATCTGACCCCTCACTGCACCACACTGAACCTGGACCTACCATGTCTCAGTCCCATCTTTAACCCATAGTAGCTGTCTGCTTTATTTTATATGCTGTTTGACCAATTCCTGTGACAAGATTACACATTACTTTCTTGAGAGATCTTGGAAGACTTCTTGAATGTGAACCTCTCTCTAGTAATGGAGAAATGGTATGAAACCTGAGATAGGAAGTTCCAGTGCAGGAGTTGGCAAAGTAATGGACAGTCTGTTATAGGAAACTGATGGCAGCATCTTGAGATTCATTGGTTCAATCCTTCTAGGTTCTCATTGAAGAACATGTAGATATTCTCTCTGATAGCACTAAATGTTCTCTTTCCCTCCCACTTTGTCTTGTAGGAAAAGTACAGCCAGTGCAGTTGCTTGTGTTTCAGAGGGCAATGGTAATTTGAGTACGATAATCAGATCTTGCAAATAATTAGAACTCTGGCCAGGTACACCACGTAACATGCCTCCTCCAATTCCAGGATGCCAGTGCAGTATGTTCTCGGTGAATGGGATTTCCAGGATTTGACACTTAAAATGGAACCTCCAGTCTTCATTCCTCGACCAGAGACTGAGGCAAGTTGTTGGCATGGGAAAGCTGGGGTTATTCTCTAAAGTGCTGTGTTGTTCCAAACATACTTTTAGCCAAGCCTTCTGTATGGAAGGAAGAACAGTGCCAGTCAGCTGTAGATAAGCCATTGGTTACTTCAGCAACAAAACAAAACAAACAATGCTAACAAATTTATTTCAGTGTGAGATTTCTTGGATACCACAAAGTGAGGGCCTTAGGTTTATCTGCATGTAAAACAGAATAACGTAAGTGTATTCACAGTGTACTTTTTACTTGTTCAGCTAAAAGTCTTATGGATAGATCTTGCTTCTATGTAGGAGAGCCTAATTTTATTACATACTTGGTTGAATAATAGGCTTTATCCTAGAAATTAGAGAAAGTACAGTGCAGAAAATAATATAGAAAATGTTCAAATGATAATTAATCTTCTTTCTGTTACAATAATGCCAATGATACCTATTTATATATACTGTAGATGTCTCGGTGCTGCTGGATAGCTTGGCAGTTTAGATATCTGGCTGCAGTGCCAGAGTTTGAGAATTTAATTCCCCGTAGTGCTTCCTAGACAGGGGCTGAACTCAATCTATAGGGCAGTGGTCCCCAACCTTGGGCCTCCAGATGTTCTTGGATTACAACTCCCTGAAGCCTTCACCACCACCTCTGCTGGCCAGGAGTTCTGGGAGTTGAAGTCCAAGAACATCTGGAGGCGCATGTTTGGAGACAACTGCTATAGGGTTCTTCCAGCTCTGCTGTTACATTGTTGTTGTTAATCTGGGGTCTGATTTTTATCGTATTGGACCTTTATGTAATACATCTTCTGAACTTGGAAATGGAAGGTGTTAATAAATTGATAACAGAAGTTTGGTGGGCTTGTACACTTAATGTTTGTAGCCCAGGCAGAGAAAGAAGGAGGAGTCTGCTGGTCTCCCTGTTAAATTAAACTGGTAGGAAGTGGAGAAAAAAAAACCTGGCTGCTTGCTTGTATACAAGAACATGAGATAACTGTGTATAGATGCTTAAAATCGTTCATTCGTTTAGTCGTTTAGTTGTGTCTGACTCTTCGTGACCCCATGGACCAGAGCACGCCAGGCCGTCCTATCTTCCACTGCCTTCCGTAGTTGTGTCAAATTCATGTTGGTTGCTTCGCAGACACTGTCCAGCCATCTCATCCTCTGTCGTCCCCTTCTCCTCTTGCTGTCACACTTTCCTAACATCAGGGTCTTTTCCAAGGAGTCTTCTCATGAGATGGCCAAAGTATTGGAGCCTCAGCTTCAGGATCTGTCCTTCCAGTGAGCACTCAGGGTTGATTTCCTTTAGAATGGATAGGTTTGTTCTCCTTGCAGTCCAGGGGACTCTCAAGAGCCTCCTCAGCACCACAATTCAAAGGCATCAATTCTTCGGCAGTCTGCTTTCTTTATGGTCCGGCTCTCACTTCCATACATCACGACAGGAAAAACCATAGCTTTGACTATTCGGACTTTTGTTGGCAAGGTGATGTCTCTGCTTTTTAAGGTTTGTCATCACTTTCCTCCCAAGAAGCAGGCGTCTTTTAATTTTGTGGCTGCTGTCTCCATCTGCAGTGATCATGGAGCCCAAGAAAATAAAATCTGTCACTGCCTCCATATCATCCCCTTTTATTTCCCAGGAGGTGATGGGACCAGTGGCCATGATCTTAGTTTTTTTTATGTTGAGTTTCAGGCCGTTTTTTGCACTCTCCTCTTTCACTCTCATTACAAGGTTCTTTAATTCCTCCTCACTTTCTGCCATCAGAGTGGTATCATCTGCATATCGGAGGTTGTTGATATTTCTTCCGGCAATCTTAATTCCATCTTGGGGTTCCTCCAGTCCAGCCTTCCGCATGATGTATTCTGCATATAAATTAAATAAGCCGGGGGACAATATACAGCCTTGTCGTACTCCTTTCCCAATTTTGAACCAATCAGTTGTTCCATATCCAGTTCTAACTGTTGCTTCCTGTCCCACGCATAGGTTTCTCAGGAGATAGATAAGGTGGTCAGGCACTCCGATTTCTTTGAGGACTTGCCATAGTTTGCTGTGGTCCACACAGTCAAAGGCTTTTGCATAGTCAATGAAGCAGAAGTAAATATTTTTCTGGAACTCTCTGGCTATATACAGTGATATACAGGCCTATATATCAGTGGTGGGATGTAGTGATGGGAATGGCCTGGTAGTGAAGTGTGTACAAGTTAAAATTGCAGTTTAGCCATTTCTTTCCCAGATTTGCAGTTTATGTTAGTTATATGGATTGATACCATGCCTTAGCCAAGTCATTCTAGAAAACGAATATGAAACCCAAGGATATGTTACATGCAATACTTTGTCATATGCATTTCCAGTCTCTTGCCTCCTAACCTTAAATTGACCATGACTGCACTATTGAAATCTTTTCTCTCTGGTCATTCTTGCACCCTAAAAAAACCCCATACCCCAAGTTGTTTACAGTCACATAGTGAGGAAGGGTTAAGCTACTCCTTTATTCCCACTGGTGTTCCATTTAATATAGCAGCCCTTCTGGGTTGCTTTAATTTAGGCTTTTAAAAAGTGGAAATGACAGAATTGCACACAGTTGAGCAACCTTTGTTGTTTGACCTTTAATGGAAAGCTTTATCTGCGATCTAGAAAATAACTCTGGTCAAGTTTTTTATGACATCCATATGAGGTCTGGATTAGACATGTTACTCAGTGAGAAGCAGTTCCTGAGGGTACAATATTGAATGAAGGATCCGCTCAGCTCTTTCATGTATCAGTGATTCCACCGTGTGTGACATATATACTTGCTCTTTTAATAATCTCTATTATCAATCCATATTGTTCAAACTAACCTCAGTTAGCCAGGTGTCCTCCAATTGACTTGAATACAACCCTCGGCATTGAAAAATGCTGTGGCCAGTGAATTGCAACCACCAGCTTATCTAGATGTGGTCATTGACCTCATAAACTGGGGATGCTGGAGCTTATAGTTCAGCACACCTGGAGTGCATCAGTTTGGGGAAGGCTGCTTTAGAATCTGCTTCTTTAGAATGGATGTCTTCACTTTGAATGCTCGTCTATAACTTTTGAGGTATGAGCAGCAGCACAAAGTAAGTTTATATTAGAACAAGAAACAATTAAAAATTACTGGTGTGGTAGAGATTGAACTAAAAATTTAGAGATGAAAGAGCTGAGATTATTGGGAGGGGCAATTTGCCCCAAGGAAGATATTAAGAATGTCTGATCATGATCTAGCCCTGAGGCAGATATGCTTCAGAGACAAATGGGGGAAGAAACACATATGTGATTCAGGCTTTTTATTTATTTATTGTATTTATTGTATTTATACCCCACCTATCTAGTCATTTCGACCACTCTTTTTAAGGAGGTTGTGCCTTCTTCTTCTTAATAATAGTTTTAGTTTTTTCATAGTTTTCTCTCTTCTTCCTCCTCCTCTATAATCTGCTCTGTTGTACTGATTGATGGTTAATCTTCCATCCAAGTAACAGCAAATACTTCATCTCTCTTTTGATGCAGTTCGGCATTTTTCTCTTTCATTGTCTTTTCTTCAAAACTACCTAGAAACCTGGCATTCAACTAACAAAAAGTAAACAAAAGTTTGCCAAATTCCTGTGGTCCTCTGCATTAGAAATGAATTAATATATAACTGTGAGGAGGATGCCTTTAGCATCCTCGGTGAGCTGTCCGCCTAATCCCATGCCTTCTGGAGGACTTCCTGAAGATCCTTGGAGCAGGGTATGCAGATGGCAGTTGCCACAACTGGGTGTCTGGATGGGAGCGAGGAGAAGGAAAAGCCACAGCTGGAGGGCAACAGCACAAGTTATTTGAAGTGGCGGGAGCCAGGGATAAAAGAGGAAGAGGGTCATCAGAGTCAGGATCAGAAAGCTTGTTGGAGGCTTGGAAAGAGCTGCTCCCTCCATCTTTTGCACCTTGGGGAAGAACCTGCCATTGTTCCTCTAAGACTCCAGGATCGGAAAGTGGATCAGTTTTGCTCTTGGGAGAAGCTTTGATGAGGGACCACCTCTCTTCTTACCACCTGGATCCTCACAGTGGTGGCCAGACCATCCAAGTGCATTACAACTTGGAAGTCTCCTGCCAGTCCATAAAAGGTGCTGGTGGTAGAAGTGGCAACACCAGTGGTTCGTACAATTGGTCTCAGAGAAGATCAGCTCCAATGGGGGTGACCCTCCTCAATCTGCCATTACTCATCTCATTGAGGGATGATGTTGGGTGACTGGGCTAGTGCCTAAAATTCAATCCCAGCTCCATACCTTGGACAGCGAGAGGCTAGTGCCTGCAATTCAGCCACAGATACAGGTACTGGGCAGCAGGGGACTAGTGGGAGAAACTAAGCCTACATGTAACATTTTACATCTTGACACAGAGACTGTGTCCAAATCCTAACAAGAACATGTCAACAAATATGGAAAATAAAACAGTGGCCTCCAGACAGAAAATGTTCATTCTAGGCCCCGAAAGGAAGGAGACGACAAGGAGTACAATAACTATAGGATCATTGCCCAAACGTCCCATGCAAACAAAGTGGTGCTCAGAGTGTTGTAAATGGAGTGAGAAATGCCAGACATTCAGCCTAGGCTCCAAAAAGGAAGAGGCACTAAAGATTGTATCACAAATGTACACCGGCTGCTTGAGCTTGCCAAAGAATTTCAGTAACAGATCACTCTGTGCTTCATAGACTGCAGCAGATCTTTTGACTGTGGATCATGAGAAGTTATGGATTGTTCTGAAAGAAATGGGTGTGACTCAGCACTTAAGTGTGCTGATGTGTAATATGTATTTTGGGCAAAAAGTTATTATGAGGACAGACTATGGAGAAACAGAATGATTTCCATAGGCAAAACCACCGATATTTGAAAATTTGCATTTAAGAGCTACTAAAATGATTACTGTATATGGAGAGCAGGTGCTTCTTCAAGCAATAGTTTATATTAATTTATAGTTGTTTTCAAAACAATGTTTCAGCTAAGTTTGA